GGAGGGGGTGCTGAGACAGGGCTGCCTGCCAGGCCTGCATGGTGATGGGTACTGAGCTGGCTTTTCCAGCAAGGAGCAGTGCTGGGGCAGAGGAGAAGGCTGTGGACAGTGGGGGGTCTCATCCTCTCCTCCCCCGCAGCGAATCGGGACATGGCGTCCATTGTGTCGGAGATCATGATGTATGTGCTCATTGTGGTGCTCACCATCTGGCTGGTGGCTGAGATGATTTATTGCTACAAGAAGATCGCGGCGGCCACTGAGGCGGCTGCACAGGAGAATGCGTGAGTGCAGAGAGCTGGGAGGGCTCAGAGGGGCAGGTGGAGGCTGGAAGGGGGTCAGGACCCAGGTGAAAGGTGCCTTGGGGAAGGCCAGGTGTGGTAGGGTGACCAGGTGTCCAGTTTTCAACCAGAACACCTGTTTGAAAAGGGACCCTGGTGGCTCCGGTCAGCACTGCTGACCGGGCCGTTAAAAGTCCAGTGCTGCAGGAGTAATGAAGGCTAGTCCCTACCTGTCCTGGCTCCACTCTGCATTCCGGAAGTGGCCAGCAGTTCCAGCTCTTAGGCGGGGGGGGGGGCAGAGGACTCAGCGCGCTGCCCCAGACCCGAGCACTGGCTCTGCACTCCCATTGGCCAGGAACTGTGGCCAATGGGAGCTGTGGGGCGGTGCCTGCAGGTGAGAGCAGCGCGCAGAGCCTCCTGCCCCACCCTCTCCCACCTGGAAACTGGACCTGCTGGCCACTTCTGGGGTGTGGAGCCAGGACAGGCAGGAAGCCTGCCTTAGACTCCCCGCTGTGCCGCTGACTGGGAGCCGCAGGAGGTAAGCCCGCACCCCAACCCACTCCTGCATTCCAAAACCCTCATCCCTGACCCCACCCCAGAGTCTGCACCCCCAGATGGAGCCCTCACCTGCTCCTGCACCTAATCCCCCTGCCCCAGCCCAGAGCCACCTCCAATACCCTGAACCCCTCTGCCCCACCTCCCATCCTGGAGCCCCCCCTACACCCCAAACTCCTCAATCCTGGCCCCACCCCAGAGCCCACACCCCCAAATGGAGCCCTCACTTACCCTGCACCCCACCCCCTGGTGCAACCCGCAGCCCCCTCCTGCACCCCAACCCCCTGCCCCAGCCCAGTGAACGTGAGTGAGGGTGCGGGAGAGCGAGCCACCGAGGGAGGGGGAATGTAGTGAGTGGGGCGCAGGACCTCGGGAAGGGTGGTCTAGGGTGTTCGGTTTTGTTCAGTTAGAAAGTTGGCAACCCTGGGGTCGGCAGTGGATGGCAGGCTGTCCTCACCCCCGTCTCTCCACAGCTCCGAGTACCTGGCCATCACGTCGGAGAGCAAGGAGAACTGTGCCGGGGTGCAGGTGGCAGAATAGCTCTTGGGGGCTGTCCGTGAGCCTGGGGGACCTCGTGAGCCAGGTAAGCCCAGACGGGCGGGAGCCCTGGGGGGTCGGCCTGGCCCACAGGATTTGGCGCTACCCTGCATCCTCCTATCAGATTCTGCCTTGCTGCACCCCCAGCACCGACTGCCTCTGCCAGCCCCATGGCCCCTCCCCTCCTTGGTAGGGGCACAAGAGTTCCCTGTACCCACCATAGCGCTGTGCCTTGTGCCCCTGCCCTGCGGGCCAGAGCCAGGAGAGAACCCAGCCTCCCCTGCTCTAACCACTAGACCCCACTCCTCTCCCAGAGCCAGGAGAGAACCCAGGAGTCCTGGCTCCCAGTCTAACCACTAGGCCTCACTCCTTTCCCTATCTCAACTACAATTTATTGTAAAACAGCGTCACGTCCCACTCCCATGGTGGACCCCAGAGAGGATAACAGCCCACTACTGCTAACAGCAGCGAGGTTCTCCTTTGGCTGCAGGGGCTGTGGTCAGGGTGGCCTGGTTTTGAGTGACATTGTTTGTTGCAGGCCTGAGGCGACGGTGAGGAACGAATGAAGGACGAGGGGAGCGATTCGAGATGGGGTGCCCCCCAGAGAGTGCCCCACAACTGGCTCCCCCACACACCCTGCACGCCTGGTGCCGCCCCAAACAAAGCATGTTGTTATGAATCCTAGTGCTCGCTCTCCCAGACCCACGGGGGGCGGACAGTGGGCACCTCGCTCTTTTAGATACATCCCTTCGCCTCACAGTGAGTGAGGCTGCCCCCGCCACAATGCATGATGGGGGAAGCAACATGGCCGCTGCTCACGCAATGCAAAGCTTGGCCTCGGCCTGCTCCAGCCCCTCTGCCCCCACCTCTGGGCACTGCACTCGCGCTTTCTGGTTTGCACATTTCTCGCGCTTCAGGTTGTTTTGGTGACTTCACTGCCAGCATGTTCTGGGTCTGAGGAGCAGGGGCCTGATGTGGGACATCCTGGACGGGGAGGGAAGGGCATCAGAGCCCCAAACAGCTTTCAGCCTGGTCCCAGGTTACCAGCGCAAAGCATCAGCCTCTCAGGGACTTGGGTGAGGCCTCCAAGCTGGCCGCCCAGTGGGTTCGTAGGCCTCAGCCAGACTCGAAGCAGTGTCCAGGATGCCTGCGTCCTGCGATCCCATGGTCCCAGCCACATGAGAGGATGGGGGATGCCTCCAACATGGCTGTCCAATGGGTTCCAATTTGGCCACACCCAAGGCACCATGGGGATGGGAGAAATGTCCAAGATGGCTGCCAAAGGGTCCTGAGGCCCCACCCAGAGGCTGAGACAGGCATACAAGATGGCTGCCTTCAGGACCCCAGGCACGTTCCCTGAAGGAGCCAGTGTTTCCATTCGCAAATGGGATGTTCCCCATTGCCCCAGGGGGCTGCTTTGCGGACTCCCAGAGCAGACTCCCTTGGGTCCCCCACCCTCCATCCCCTCCCAACGGTCAAGGCATGGCAGGCAGGGCAGGGCTAGGTTAGGACTCCTCCAGGTCCATGGCACTCAGATAGCTCCTCCTGTTGGGGGGGGGGGGAGGCGGGGCTGAGATCTGGGGGAGCAGCCCCCACAGAGGGTATCTGAGGGGTTTGCTAGTAAGTGCCCTCCTCAGCCTTCCAAGGGGTGCTGCAGACTCTTCCCCCTCCCCTCCATGCACTGACACCTGAGATACCAGCTGCCCCCTTTGCCATCCAGCCCCCCATGCAATATCCCCCCAGTGCCATATCCTTCCATGCCATCCAGCCCCCCAGTGCCCATAGCCCCCATGCCATCCAGCCATATCTCCCATGCCAGCCAGCCCCTTCAATGCCATCTTTCCAAAGCCATATTCCCTGTGCCAGCCAGCACCCCCATGCCATCCCGCTCCCCAATGCCATGTCCCTCTCAGTCCCCCTGGCCCAGGGGACCCATCACCCCAACCCAGCCACTCTGGGCTCTTCAGGGAATACAGCTGAGTGGCTTCTGGCCCTTCCTCCTCCGACCCTTGGACAGGTCCTGGGGACCCGCCCGTCACGGTGCCGTAGGGGCTGTTCATGGAATAAAGAGACTGGATTTCATCCTGCACTCACAGTGTGATTCCTGGGGTGGAGGGGACATGGGGCGGGGGATAGAGGTGGGGTATGGGTGTAATGGGTTGTCAACCCTCACGGTGCAGCCTGGGAGCTGTGGGAGCTGCTGTGCCCCCTAACCCACCAGCTGGGCAGGCTGCTCTCACACTGCTTTGTAGAGATTCAGCCAGCCTCTCCAGGCCCTGTTATCACCCAGCATGACAACAGGTGGTGCCACATACCCAACTGAGCTACCTGAGTGCTTTACCTAAGCCACTCAAGGACAGAGAGAAGACAACATTCAATTTCCCATCTCCCCAGCCTTTCACGCTTGCTGGAGTATAAACCCAGTATTATACCATCTTGCACTGTACAATGCAAGCTCATTAATATAGTTTGCTTTCCCCTTGATATGGGAAAGATATGCAAAAGCCTTTGTTTACAGAGATGAGATTTTCCCACCCACTTCATTTAAAACAAGCTGGTAAAGATAAGAACATAAAACATGTTTATTAACTACAGAAAAATAGATTTTAAGTGACAGCAAACAGATCAAAGCAGATTACCTAGTAAATAAACAAAACCACAAACAGCCTAAAATACTAGAGGGACAAGATTTGAAGTGGTAATTTCTCCATCTTACTGATGATACAAGCAGTTCATTGAGTTTTCATATACTGGTTAAAAATCTCTTTAGCCTGGGACCAGCATTTTCCCCCAATTCAGTCTTTGTTCCCAGGCGTTGCCAGGAGTGTCCTTGTGTGAGGACACCAGATGACTTCACTCCCTGCCTTGTATAGCTTTAACATATAGCGGGAACCCTGTGTTCCAAACTCAGTTCCCAGTCCAGTTTGTGGACAAATACAGGTACCAAAATGGAGTTCAATGTCATGTGGCCTGGTCACGTGCCCTTACATGCCTTGTTGAGTCATAGCAACCATTACTCATAGGCTGGCTGAAATGTTCACACAGGAAGGCTAAACTCTTCCATGGTCCATTGTCTTTGTTGATGAGCCATTAGCACTGTCTAGCTTCTTCATTGTTGTACCTGAAAGGCTAGCTGTGGGGGTTACCCACAGTAAGCACGAAATACAGGTACATAGTCAATATTCATAACTTCAGATACAAAAATGATACATGCCCACAAATAGGATAATCATATTTGGCAAATCGTAACTTTTCCAAAGACACCTCACATGACCCATTTAGTACAAAATGCATCATAATTATGCAATAATCACACCATAATCATCACTATGATGAGTATGGGGTGCAGTGTCACGGGGGGGGTCAGGGACCAGATAGGGGGCTATGTGGGTGATAGAGGTGGGGGGTGATGGGAAATATGGGGTTAGGTAGAGGGGGATCTTGGGAAGTGGGAGGCATGGGGAGTGCAGGCTGGAATGGGGAGAGGGATCCTGGCAGCAGGGGAGGGGGTGGTGTGAGTAGTGCAGGCTGCGGGGGAGGGGGCCGGGAGATAGGAAGGGAGACTTGCAGTAGAGGAGGGGACAGCATGGGGAGTTCAGGCTGACAGGGGGAGAAGGGGGTGGCATGGGGGAAATGAAGGAAGGGGGCTGGAAGGGAGCCTGTCAGCATGGGAGGGGGTGGCGTGGGGAGTGCAGGCCATGAGGGCAGAGAGGTTGCAGCTGATGTGGGGCATGGTCTGTCACAGACCCACAGATTGTGCCCACTCTTGGCCCCATACAGTCCCTGGGGGGGGAACCTCCTTCACTGTGACATCCCTTCTTGGGGGTCCACTCTCAGGGGTTAAGCCCCTCCACTTTCTGGAACCGCAGTTCTCTGAGCCTAAGCCCTGGTCTACACTAGAAGTTTAGGTCGAATTTAGCAGCGTTAAATCCATGTAAACCTGCACCCGTCCATACGATGAAGCCCTTTTTTTCAACTTAAAGGGCTCTTAAAATCGATTTCCTTAATCCACCTCTGACAAGTGGATTAGTGCTTAAATCAGCCTTGCCGGGTCGAATTTGGGGTACTGTGGGTGCAATTAGACAGTATTGGCCTCTGGGAGCTATCCCAGAGTGCTCTATTGTGACCGCTCTGGGACAGCACTCTCAACTCAGATGCACTGGCTAGATAGACAGGAAAAGGCCCACGAACTTTTGAATTTCAATTTCCTGTTTGCATGGTCACCTGCAGCTTGCCACGCTGGCCAGAGCTCATCAGCAGAGGTGACCATGATGGAGTCCCAGAATTGCAAAAGAGCTCCAGCATGGACCAAATGGGAGGTACGGGATCTGATCACTGTATGGGGAGAGGAATCCGTGCTATCAGAACTCTGTTCCAGTTTTCGAAATGCCAAAACATTTGTCAAAATCTCCCAGGGCATGAAGGACAGAGGCCATAACAGGGACCCGAAGCAATGCCGCATGAAACTTAAGGAGCTGAGGCAAGCCTACCAGAAAACCAAAGAGGCAAACGGCCGCTCCAGGTCAGAGCCCCAAACATGCCGCTTCTATGATGAGCTGCATGCCATTTTAGGGGGTTCAGCCACCACTACCCCAGCCGTGTTGTTTGACTCCTTCAATGGAGATGGAGGCAACACAGAGGCAGGTTTTGGGGACGAGGAAGATGATGAAATTGTAGATAGCTCACAGCAAGCAAGCGGAGAAACCGGTTTTCCTGACAGCCAGGAACTGTTTCTCACCCTGGACCTGGAGGCAGTCCGCCCAGGACCCACCCAAGGCTGCCTCCCAGACCCGTCAGGCAGAGAAGGGACCTCTGGTGAGTGTACCTTTTAAAATACTATACATGGTTTAAAAGCAAGCTTGTTTAATGATTAATTTGCCCTGTCATTTGCGGCTCTCCTGGATGTACTCCCAAAGCCTTTGCAAAAGGTTTCTGGGGAGGGCAGCCTTATTCCACCCACCATGGTAGGACACTTTACCACACCAGGCCAGTAGGATGTACTCGAGAATCATTGTAGAACAAAGCATTGCAGTGTATGTTTGCTGGCATTCAAACAACATCCATTCTTTATCTCTCTGTGTTGTCCTCAGGAGAGTGATATCATTCATGGTCACCTGGTTGAAATAGGGTACTTTTCTTAAGAGGACATGCAGAGGTGCCCGTTCCTGCTGGGCTGTTTGCATGTGGCTGAACAGAAATGTTCCCCGCTGTTAGCTGGGGGTGGGGGTGAGGGGCTAGCCACGTGGTGGGGGGAGGCAAAATGCGACCTTGGAATGAAAGCACATGTGCTGTGTATGTAATGTTAACAGCAAGGTTTACCGTGAAAGAGTGTAGCCATTGTTCTAGAAAATGTGTCTTTCTAAATACCACTGCCTCTTTTTTTTATCCACCAGCTGCATGTGTTTCAATGATCACAGGATCTTCTCCTTCCCAGAGGCTAGTGAAGATTAGAAGGTGAAAAAAACGCACTCATGATGAAATGTTCTCTGAGCTCATGGTGTCCTCCCACACTGACATAGCACAGACGACTGCGTGGAGGCAGACAATGTCAGAGTGCAGGAAAGCACAATATGACCGAGAGGAGAGGTGGCAGGCTGAAGAGAGTAAATGGCAAGCTGAAGAGAGGGCTGAAGCTCAAATGTGGTGCCAGTGTGATGAGAGGAGGCAGGATTCAATGCTGAGGCTGCTGGAGGATCAAACCAATATGCTCCAGCGTATGGCTGAGCTGCAGGAAAGGCAGCAGGAGCACAGACCGCCACTACAGTCCCTGTGTAACCAACCACCCTCCTCCCCAAGTTCCATAGCCTCCTCGCCCAACCGCCCAAGAATGCGGTGAGGGAGCCTCCGGCCACTCCACCCCAGAGGATTGCCCAAGCAACAGAAGGCTGGCATTCAATAAGTTTTAAACTTTTAAACTTTTAAAGTGCTGTGTGGCCTTGTCCTTCCCTCCTCCACCTCCCTTCCTGGTGCTTCTTTCCTCCACCACCCTTCCTGGGCTACCTTGGTAGTTATCCCTCTATTTCTGTGATGAATGAATAAAGAATGCATGAATATGAAGCAACAATGACTTTTTTGCCTCTGCAAGTGGTGATCGAAGGGACGAGGGGAGGGTGGTTAGCTTACAGGGAAGTAGAGTGAACCAAGGGGCGGTGGGTTTCATCATGGAGAAACAAACAGAACTTTCACACCATAGCCTGTCCAGTCATGAAACTGGTTTTCAAAGCTTCTCTGATGCGCACCGCGCCCTCCTGTGCTCTTCTAACCACCCTGGTGTCTAGCTATGCAAAACCAGCAGCCAGGCAATTTGCCTCAACCTCCCACCGCGCCATAAACGTCTCCCCCTTACTATTACAGATATTATGGAGCGCACAGCAAGCAGTAATAACAGTGGGAATATTGGTTTCGCTGAGGTCTAACCGAGTCAGTAAACTGCACCAGCGCGCTTTTAAACGTCCCAATGCACATTCTACCACCATTCTGCACTTGCTCAGCCTCTAGTTGAACAGCTCCTGACCACTGTCCAGGCTGCCTGTGTATGGCTTCATGAGCCATGGCATTAAGGGGTAGGCTGGGTCCCGAAGGATACATATAGGCATTTCAACGTCCCCAACAGTTATTTTCTGGTCTGGGAATAAAGTCCCTTCCTGCAGCTTTTGAAACAGACCAGAGTTCCTGAAGATGCGAGCGTTATGTACCTTTCCCGGCCATCCCACGTTGATGTTGGTGAAACGTCCCTTGTGATCCACCAGTGCTTGCAGCACTATTGAAAAGTACCCCTTGCGGTTTATGTACTTGCCAGCTTGGTGCTCCGGTGCCAAGATAGGGATATGGGTTCCATCTATGGCCCCACCACAGTTAGGGAATCCCATTGCAGCAAAGCCATCCACTATGACCTGCACATTTCCCAGGGTCACTACCCTTGATATCAGCAGATCTTTGATTGCTTTGGCTACTTGCATCACAGCAGCCCCCACAGTAGATTTGCCCAGTCCAAATTGATTCCCAACGAACTGGTAGCTTTCTGGCATTGCAAGCTTCCACAGGGCTATTGCCACTCGCTTCTCAACTGTGGGGGCTGCTCTCATCTTGGTATTCTTGCGCCTCAGGGCAGGGGAAAGCAAGTCACAAAGTTCCATGAAAGTGCCCTTATGCATGCGAAAGTTTTGCAACCACTGGGAATCGTCCCAGACCTGCAACACTATGCGGTCCCATCAGTCTGTGCTTGTTTCCCGAGCCCAGAATCGGCGTTCCACCACATGAACCTGGCCCATTAGCACCATGATGCCCACATTGGCAGGGCCCCTGCTTTGAGAGAAGTCTGTGTCCATGTCCTCATCACTCACGTTACCGCGCTGACGTCGCCTACTCGCCCGGTATTGTTCTGCCAGGTTCCGGTGCTGCATATACTGCTGGATAATGCGTGTGGTGTTTAATGTGCTCCTAATTGCCAACGTGATCTGAGCGGGCTCCATGATTGCCGTGGTATGGAGTCTGCACAGAAAAAAGGCCCAGAACAATTGTCTGCCATTGCCCTGACGGAGGGAGGGGTGATTGACGACATGGCTTACAGGATTGGCTTACAGGGAATTAAAATCAACAATGGGGGTGGCTTCGCGAGAAACTGAATGGCCCCCTCAAGGATAGAACTCAAAACCTCAAGGATAGAACTCAAAACTGGGTTTGGCAGGCCATTGATTTCACAGAGGGAAGGAAGAGAAAACGAATACAAAACAAATCTGGTCTATTTCTTGTTTTGAGCCACGTCATCTATCTTTATACATCTTGCTGGCAGAAGACAGTGCAGTATGACGACTAGCCATCATCTTCTGCTGGCTGGAGGTTAAAAGACAGTGCACTGCCGGTAGGACTCAATCGCCATGAGACGAAACTTAAAAGGGAAATGACCTGGCTGAGTCACTCCCATGTTTGCCCAGGCACCCGATTAAAAGAGCACCCAGGACTATGTCAATGACGGTTACCAGTCATACTGCACTGTCTGCTGCCAAAAGGCAATTAACTGCTTCTGTGTAGCAATGCAGTACCACGTCTGCCAGCACCCAGGAGACATACGGTGTCAGTTAGCTGAGCGGGCTCCATGCTTGCCGTGATATGGCGTCTGTGCAGGTAACTCAAGAAAAAAGGCGCAAAACGATTGTCTGCCCTTACTTTCACGGAGGGAGGGAGGGAACAGGGGCCTGATGATATGTACCCAGAACCACTCACGACAATGTTTTAGCCCCATCAGGCACTGGGATTTCTACCCAGAATTCAGATGGGCGGCGGAGACTGCGGGAACTGTGGGATAGCTACCCACAGTGCAATGCTCCGGAAGTCGACGGTTGCCTCGGTACTGTGGACACACTCCGCCGACTACATGCACTGAGAGCACTTGTGTGGGGACACACACAATCAACTGTATTAATCCACTTTCTACAAAACCGACTTCTATAAATTCTACCGAATTTCATAGTGTAGACATATGCCTGTCTCTCTCCATGGGCCCCCACAGGGAGTCCACTTGCTCTGGACCCCCAGGGGCCTCCACTCCCAGAGGGAATAATGCAACCCTGTTCTCTAGACTGGAGTGACTCTCAGCCAACATAAAACAGGAGGGTTTACTGAGCATCTGAACACAGCACAGGAAACTCTCAGGACCCTCAGGCCTGGCCTCCCTCAGCACCATACATCGAAGTCTCCCCTGCATCCAGGTGGGCTCTATCTGCTCTCTCTGTCCAGTCCAGAGACCCTGCACTTTCCAGCTGGGCATCCAATATCACTGGCCCCAACAGCTCCTCCCTTGTCCTTTGTCTTCCATCCCAGATAAACAGGTCGCTCGGACCCTCTCTCTTCAGTCCTTTGTTCCCCTCTGGCTGGAACTGGTTGGTCAGGTCACCGGGGTCCTCACTCCTCAGCCCTTTATCCTCCCACTGGCCAGAACCAGCTAACAGGCAAGCTGGGGTGGTCCTCTTTGTCACCAGGTCACCAGTTGTTAGGGTTCCCCATCTCCAGGCCACTGTCCGGGGGCCCCACCTGCTAGGCGAGATCACCCCTGGTCCTTTGCAACAAAAAAACCCTCTCCCACCACCTTGTCAAACATGCAGCACACAGGGAAACTGAGGTGCGCACACACTATTCATGGTAAACACTACAAAAATCCCAAACTTCGTCACATGGTCTCTCGGGACCTTGACCAAGGCGTCAAAACTGGTGTTTTGAAGTTGAGCGCTGGGATGTCAAGGACTGAGGGGCTGATGTGGACCAGAAGGTGTGGGGAGTGCAGTCTGTCTACCCCAGGAACCATCTGCCCCAGGCCACCATGCCGGTTTAGGGGGCCGCAAAGTTGGAGGAATGGGAGATGTGGCCTTTCCCCCTGAAGGGCACTGAATCTGATTCATACTTAGGTGGCTGTGAGGAAGCTGGCTCTGGCTTGGTTACACACATGGATGCAGTGAAGGGTCCCCGGGCTCCATCGGGGACTCGAGATTCCTGGCACTGGGCTCCACTCACCAAGCGCTACTCACTGAATTAGGCTCAGCGGCTGCTGCTGTATGTCACCGGCAACTGCATCTGGCATGTGGGGCGCGGTGACCCCACGGAGACAGGCTGTGAGCCAGGGAGCCACCCTGAAAGGGATGGACAACAGAACGCAGGAGTCCTGGCTCCAAACCCCACCCCACTTCTAAACCACGCTCCCCTCCCAGAGCCAGGATAGACCGCAGGAGTCCTGGTTCCCAGACACTCGACCCCTGGCTCTAACCCACCAGAACACACTCTCCTCCATCAGCCAGGATAGAACCCAGGTTTCTTCTTTGAGATGTGTCCCTATGGGTGTCCCTGTGTCCCTGATCAGAGATCTTTGGTGGCACTGTCCATTCAGCCCGCACATGCGCTCTCCCTCCCACGTGCTCTGCCTTGAGGCTAACTTGTGCTGAGCGGGCAAACCACCCTCTGGCCTAAGAAGGGGTGGAGAGCAGTCCACTTTCTCTTACCTCAGAGTTTTAGAGTTCGGTTTTTAGAGCTACTGTGACGTTATTGACATAAATTGTGACCGTATAGATCATTGTTGCAACCAGGTCCTGTAATGGCACCAAATCTTGTATAAAGGGGGTCATATAAGGTGTCTAAGACAAGGTTGTGGTTTGCTGGTTATGATTATGCTATCTGTATGTGTGTATCATTTTTGTAGTTGAAGTTATGAATATTAGCTAAGTACTAGTATCTCAATGTGTTTGATTCTAAGTAGCCTCAGTGAAGAATTTGGTCAGCTTCTTGAGAATGGGCACTTACTGAGAATAGTCCTATCAAGAAACACTTAACTCACAATGAACTTTGGGAGATGCCAATCCACATCTCAGCTTTCCTGGGAATATTCAAACTAACATGTAAACAATGGCGTTGGCCTGTTATGCTTTTGCTGCTGTGCCAAGCTTCCAGCCTGTTTACAGCTATAAACTGAAAAGCAACATGCTTGTGGGACTGTTTTGTCACCATCCCTAGCATGTATAAAAGTTTTCCCCACAAATCAGGTATGTCACACATCTTTAAAGGGTTTACCATTAGTATTAACTCCTTAGTCTTGACCCCTTGATGAAGTAGCAAAAGACTCAGGATCAACAGCCAACTTATGACAGACAGATTCTGTTCACACAGCCTGGCTTCCCAGTGTTCAGTACATTTCCCAGTCCCTTTGTGTACCTTTGTGTACCATGGTAGGTGCTCAGATACATATTCTTCTGCCTCTCTGGAGAAGGCTCTTAATTCTGGCATGTGTTTGAGGCTTTGGCAAGGAAAGAGTGCACTGCAACCATGCCTGCCCTCGGCCCCTCCCTCTGTGTTATCTTTTACAAGGGTAGCAGGAATAACATTCTTTTCTGTACAAGACCTAGTGCAACCATAGGACCCTGGTTGCAAAAATGATCATGTTACAGTTCATGTCAATAATGTCACACCCAGTACCAAGGAGTGGGAACTCTGGAGTCTCAGCCACTATGAGATCTCTGAAAAAACAAAACTCCTGCAGCACCAGAGTGATCAGTACCATCAGGGCTTGTTGGTGCTGACTCGCTG